GAAGGCTGCATGAAGACAAAAGGGTCAAAGGTCTGCATGGTGTGTTCCCGTGTTTTTGCATACATTTTCTGCTTGATTCGACCCACATTTATGAACTGACCTTCAGACTGTCGCTGCCTGTTCTCCTGCACATTATGGCTTCATTTTGGACTTCTGCAGAAATCCCACACATGATCTCAAAGCCAAATTCATGATAACTCAGTCGTGAGTAAGCAGCCTCTGTTGTCGGCTGTCATGCACCTCTCCTTCTGTATCTACTAACAATTTACAGCAAGCAAAGCACAGAGTGGCTGTTGGAATAAAACCCTATTTCAAAGACACCTGATTGGCTGCTGCCCAGAGTAGTGATTTAGCATTTCCCCTGTGCAGAGACGCACTGAGTGAGGGGAACAAACTAAACCAAAAACAACTGCAGACGAAGCCTTCAGTGTTTTCAGTTAGTGCTTTCAATCAGCTCAAGCTCTTATTTTGACACCGAGGGTTCAATAATAGAAGGAAACAGGTTTGTATGAGGCTCCGATTCTGCGTCTTTGTAAAGTCTGGGTCCGACCCTGTGACATTTACACTCTGTTTCTGTGGGTGGACAGGTGTGCACACCTCTGAGGTTTGTTCCTAAAATGAGAGAACTGAACGTAAAGTCAAGTGTGTTGAACAGACTGCAGCCATGGAAAGAGTTACACCACGCAGCAGACTAACACCACATTTCCCTCCATCACCACAGCCCACCCGATGATTCTGCTCTGCTAGGATGGAGGAAAGGAGGCTCGAGAGGAATCCTGAAACCGAGGCAAACCCTGGGCCTGCTCAAGCTGTCCTACAGTCCTGTAAGGGTGTCGCCCCTTCAGTGATGCATATATTTACACAAAGATAAGAGACGGGAAAGTCAAACGATGTCTGCTTCATCACCATTGCTCCAGGAAGAAAAATATATGAATTTAAAATGACACGTTTAAAAGCAGGGCGAGTGTGAGTGTGAGGGCTCCATCACGCTGGCTGCTGCTCTACAACAAAGCGATGTGACGTCTGCTGGTACGAGATGCTGCTCTGCTGTCACTTCAGCCAGTTGTGCCGTTGCTGCTGTGTGTTGGATTTTAACACTATTGTAATGACCAGAGCACAGCAGCTCAGAGCCTCCGAGTGCACACTTTAAAAAATTATCTGCTTCCTGTTTTGAGTTCTCCTCCTCCGATAGTGGCGACGCCTACCACTCAGGACAATACTGCACTCTAAGTTTAAATGGTACGGAGCCGAGGCGGGGTTACCATTGGCGACCAATTCAGCGTGTATGCTGGAGCCCTGAGGGTTTAATGTGTGCTTACTGAGTGTGTGTGTGTGTGTGACAGAGAGAGAAACACATTAACTTATGGGAAGTAAAAGAGGACTAAAGGAACATGACACTGAAAATGGGGGAGGAAAAAAAAAAAGACTACTGTATGCTGTACTGTGCTGCCTATAAGTGATGGCTTAAACACAGCCCCTCCCCATGTCCTGTTAAAAGACCACCCTCAGCCCTCATTTTCAGTCCTCCAGGACGATGGGCTCGCTGGTGTTGGAGGGGACGATGGGCATGGCTAGGGAGCGTGGCGGCGGCGGCAGTTTGATCCGGACCAGGAGGTGAGGTTTCCTTGCTGCCCGGCGCATCTCAGACTGGGTGAGATGTTTCCTCAGAGCCCTGGTTCACAGAGACCAGTGATGAGAACACACATCCACTCTGACACAATAATGCTTCAATTAGCTAACACTGTGAGTAATACCCACTCTGATGACACCCATCTGTGTGTGATCCTGCTGACTGTGCATGTCTGTGCGCTAAAGACTGCTGACTTTAGTTAAGTTGGGGCATTGATGATCTACTAAATCAGGAAGTGCTGTGCTGCCATGTACCTGGTGTCCTTTGTGGCAACAAACACCACAGGGTTGGGAGCTTCTCCCTGGCTCACTTTCTGCCGCTTGATGACAGACTGAGAGGTGGTTCTCATACCTGAAGTATATGGCCTCCCATTGGCTGGGTATGGCACTCCTGCAGCCTGTGAACCAATGAAGAAAACAATTGATCAGACTTTAGTGCAAAAGGGAAACACGTGAGTAAAACATGCTGGCTTTCCACCACTTTCTGGATTTAATGATGCACTAGTATACTACGAGCTGCCCAGCAGGCCCCAACATAAAACGCAAGAAATTAGCAGCCATTAGCTCTGTGAGGAGTGAAATTACATGCACACTCTGAGGAAAAGGATGAAAACAGGCAGCAGACGAGTGTGTGTTGTAGTAGTTGCAAAAGGAGCATATTTTCTTAAACTAGAAAGTGCATTTTCTGAAGAAACTGCAGTGTGAATGCTTGAATTTGAATGTATGCACTGAAATGAATTAATTGCTGAATTTAAGTTAAAAATTTTGAATGAGATGAAAAAAAACAGAATTTTTAACCTGAAAACAAAAGCGCTGAACTGCTAAAACCTGACGTTTACACAGAAGAAGTTGGGAAAATAGCTGAAAATGTTTTAAATGTAAATTATAGTGTTTAAGATTAAGATGAATCTTGGCAGAGTGAGACAGAGCTCGTTAGGCCGGCAGGTGTGAGCCTGGTTGCTATAGTGACTGCACCCAATGGCTCCCTACACACGCACACAGACATGCGCCTCACTTTTGATGCTTAAAATGAACAGAAAAGTCAG